ATAAATTATCAAGGGTTTGTGAGGGAGGGGGTGGGGAGGGAGGGGAAAAATGAGGAGCTGATACCAAGGGCTCAAATAGAAAGAATAATGCTTGGAGAATGATGATGGCAACAACTGTACAAATGTGCTTGACACAATGGATATATTGTGATGAGTTATACGAGCCCCCAATAAAATGATTTTAAAAAGAAAAAAAAGTTCATGGAAACATGCGATTAAAAGATAATGGAATTTTCCCATGAAGTTTTGAAACCTCCTCACATAAGTGGATTCCAGATGTATTAAAATGTACAGATATGTATGTCTATACATAGTAAAAACATACCTAGGAAATATATCAAAAGGTTAGCAATGGTTCACCCTAGATTGCTTATCATTTTCTTCTTCATATTTTTATTAAATTCTTAACATTTTCCTGATACCCGTTGCCGTTATAATCAGGAAATAACCATAAACATGTAAGTGAATGCAGAATTGAGTACAGTACAACAGGAAAATAGACAAGCATACCACAACTGTCATACAGACAGTATGTTGGAAGAAAAATGAACCTGATACAAAAAGAGCACAGTAAGATTCCATTTATGTAAAGTTCAAAAATAGGCAGCACTCATCAGGGGTGTTATAGGTCAGAATAGGGGTTACGTTTAGGGGTAAGAAGTCTCTACATATGGTTACCATGCTCATATGCGAACTGAAAAGTTGGCAGTTCCAGTCTACCTTGAAGTACCTTGGAAGAAACGCCTAGAAATATACTACCCCCCCCCCCAATTTATGAAAACCCGTATGGAGCACAATTCTATTCTGACATAGAGTCACCGTAAAATGGAATCTAAATGGAGACAGTTTTTTTTTTTAATTTATTTTTAATATTTTGCAGGGAAGGGAGGTAAGTGTGGGATAGCAATCCCTGACTGGCTCTATTAATAATCCCCTCAGAAGTGCCTTGGGGGAAAAGCCTGTTGATCGGCTTCTGGAAAACCCTATCTGTTGAAAGCCATGTGCAGCGCTGTGCTACTGACAGACACAAAGCGGGTGCTATAAGTTGAGATCAACTCAACCGCAACTGGTTTGAGGCTTTATTTGTTTGTTTGCTTGGTTTCTGATAGTTGTTTAAGGATCGGCAGTGACTAGAAGAGAGTATGGACGAATCTTCTGGGATACAGGTAGAATTCTATTTCTTGAGTGAAGTACTGGTTAAACAGGTAGAATCATTTTATGAAAACCTATTAAGATGTATACTTATGATTTGTATACCTCAAAAAAGTTTTTTAAAATGGCATGACACTACTTGATATGATTCAACTATGGAATGGTAGGATGTCTCGGTTAGCTCCTAATTAAATGGTTTGGAAATCTTTTTTTTTATATCTATCTTGCCCATCCTACTTTCCATTCTCTAACCTCTGTCTAGGTGACTTTCTGACCCCTGTAGAGATCCAAGGTTTTCAGACCAAGATCCCCATACTTCTCTCTACCCTGTGGCGTAAAACAACAACAATGAATTAAACAAAAAAGACCAACCAGCTGCTGTTGAATCAATTCCAACATATACCACCATGTGTTACAGAGAAATAACATAGCTCCATCGAGTGCTCATGACTGTGACCTTTCAGAAGTACATTGGCAGGTCTTACCTCTGATAAACTTCTTAGTGGGTTTGAACCACTAACCTCTTGATTAGTCTTGTGCTTAGCCTTTAGCACCACCCTTGGACTTCTGTTGTGGTGTAGACAGCCCCATTTCATACTGAATCCTTCCAGTGTCAGAAAGTGATTCCCTTGCTTAGAGGGACGACGAGAGCCCTAATGGTAGTTAAGTGCTTACCTGCCAACCAAAAGGTCATTGGTTCAACTCTACTAGCCATTCCATGGGAGGAAAATGTGGTAGTCTGCTTCCAGAAAAGAAAAAAAAGACAGCCTTAGAAACTCTATGGGGAAGTTCTACTCTATCCTATAGAGTTGCTATGAGTTGAAATTGCCTTAGTGACAATGGGCTTTAGGAACGATGACAGTACCAAAGAATCAAGTTGCACTGACAAGAAGACAAGTAGTCAAATTCCGCACAGAATTCAGAGTGACTGTAAGACTTTCCTTTTCTGTTGGCCATGTTGCTAACCTTCACAGGCCTTTATGGAAGAAGTTAAGTCTCGAGGTCCCTATATCTACTCTGTGCTAGAGTCAGCTCAAGCCTTCCTGTCCCAGCATCCTTTTGAAGAATTAGAGGAGCCTCGTTCTGAGCGTAAAGGTGAGTAGTCTTCTCTCTTCCTCTATCTTGATCTATATATCACTAAATACCTTCCTACCTTTATCAAACTCATGCTCTCAGCTGTTACCAAGGAGGTTCGTTTTCTCCTAAAAGTCCCAAGGGAGGAGCAAAATTCCTACTACAAGAAAAAGCGAAGAAAACAGAATCTAGAGTGGGGTGACCAGCATGTGGCCCAAAGCTGTATGTGACTCTCAGGATAGTCCATTGTAGCCTTTTAAGCATATATGAGAAAGAGAAAAATTGGCTCAAATGTAATTAACTGAGTCAATGAATAAAAGGATTAGTATTGTCCTGAAAGAGACATATTACTTTATTCCAACATGGAAGGACACATATTAAGGCTCTAATCAACCAGCAAATACACCCTTGCATTATTTGATGTGGTTTCTCTAGTCAGTCTTGTCAATTCCCACCAAATGCCTGGTGGGCAGGATGGGTGGGGGGGCATGAAAATAGGATAATAGGGCTCTAAGGGAATGGATTGTCATTCCACTGAGTATAAAGTATAAAGTAAGCCATCTCAGAAGCAGAAATGGGAAATCTCACAACCATCAAGAAAGAAGAGCTATACATAAAGCGTATCTGAGATCCCTTTATGGAGAGGTGGAGACAGCAGATCAACAGCACCAAAAAACTATGAGGCAGAATGAGAGGTTTCCTGGCTCACAGAATGAGTAGAGCTGATTGCCTTCAGGCAGGAGGCTGTTTTGCAGAGTGGTATGCCCTTTGGTCACTTATCAGTGCTAAAAGAGCTTTATAACACTTGCTTGAGTAGGGCAGAGGCCAAGGGGGCATATGTCTGAGGCCAAAGACAAGAGAGAGATCTGACTGTGGGCATTGATAAAAAGAGGCACTGCAGACCAAAGAATGGTATGCTTAACATTTGTGATGCTGACATATTAGCTATTCTAATAAACCCCGTTACTCTGCGTGAGTATTATATAGTCTGTGAGTTTTGCATGGCCATTGCAACCGATTACTGAACCCACCAGAGAAGGAAAGTGGCATGGGAGAGATGGTTGGTGTCAGAATAGGGTAGCTAAAGTGGGAGGGTGAAGGAATGTCTGACCTCTGCCTCAGAGGCACCATTCCTAGGCAGACGTGCACTTGGATTCTCTTTCCCCCTGGTGAAGTCGGAGGAAGTCAGACATGGCCTCCATGCCATTTCTGCATTCTGAAAAAAAAACCTGTTTTGCAAGATTATTTTTTCCTGGTTAATACAGACTTAAAACATTTCCTTTTATCTCCACATGTACAGTTTAGTGATGTTAAGTATGTTCATTATGTTGTTCAACCATCACCATTAACTCCTCCCAATGTTTTCTATCACTTTTAACAGAGGCTCAGTGTCACCTAAGGGTTGTGTAAAAGATCTTTTTTAAAGTCTAAAAAGTTAAATAATAATATTTGAGAGAAAAATTAACTGTGGCTCTTGGACATTGACCCTAGTGGCTTCTGGTCCCTTCCCTCTGTAGACTAGGCCTCTCTAGGTGTCCATTCAAATAAACCATCAGGGTAGAATTCCTAGGGATTAGGTCTGAGTGTTGGCCCAGCAAGCCCTCCTCCCCAGAAAAGGCCTTTACTTTTCAGAGAGAGGCTATGTCTAGGGTCTGGAAGGACCCTTCATTAGCAAAGCCTTTTGTTGATGCTGTTTACCCTCTTACTTCTAGTCCCTCCATAGGAGAGCTAGTGTTGAATTTGCTGTTCCTGAAATAGGTTAAGCTCAAGAGACAGCAAGGACAAATTAAGTTAGCCGGGGAATTTGATTCTGCTTCTGAGTGGAGGTCTAAAGGGCTGGGGGTGGGAGGTTGATATTAGAAGACCAGAAGGGAGAAAATGGGCATGTTAAACTAACCTCTTCTGGGCTGGGCCTTCATAAAATATCTCCCTCCTTTGGATTGACCTCGGAAGCAGCCACTAATGCAAATCACACCCCAGCGTCATGTGAATATGACCTTCAGTGATTTGTCTCTCTATACCCCTTACAAATTTGACTCACTATTTGCCTTGCCTACTGGGCTTTCTACTCCTGTAATCAGTTCCAGTCTTGGAAACCTACAGGGGGTGGGTCGCTCTGAGTCAGCATTAACTCCATGGCAGTGAGTTTGGGTTTGGTTTGGTATTGGCATAGTGGATATGCATTGGACTCTGATCCCCAAGGTCCTGCAGTTCAAAGCCACCAGGTGTTCCATGGGAGAAAGAGGGTTTTCTTCTCCCATAAAGAGTTACAGAGTCAGAAACTCACCGGGCCAGTTCTACCCTGTTTATAGGGACCCCTGTGTGTTGGCATAGACTTGATGGCAGTGAGTTTAGGTTTTTTGTTTGTTTGTTTTGTTTTTTAAGAATATGGAAAAAAATCCTCATAATATAGTAAGTGGAAAGTACATATATGACTGAATGTGGTAGCTTGCCTGTGGTAGTGGATATATGAATTTACACATGTGATAAAATTGCATAGGGCTAAGTACACACATACACAATTGGCTACAACTGAAAGTCAGATGCTTGGATCCACAATCAATACCTGTGGAAGCAGCAGTCAAGAAATTAAATAAGATATTGCAGTAGGCAAATCTGCTACATACGACTTCTTCGAAATGTTACAGAGCAACTTTGGTGAGTAGCAACTGGGGGTTAAAAGCTCGTGGGCAGCCAACTAAGGTATCACTATTGGCCTCTCCCTGTCTGGAGCAAAGAAGAGTGGAGAAAATGAAAGGCCAAACCAACAATCAGCTTTCATGACCCTAAATCAGAAGAAGTAAATGGTGCCTGAACACACTGGCGACCTCCCTGAAAGGGATAATAGTAGATAGTCCTGAATAAGAGTGAGAGAAAAAAGTGGAATAAAATTCAAAATCATAAAAAATGACCAAGAGACTTTGGTCATTCCTCGCCCTTAAGTCTGGAACTGAACCCCACCCACATTCCTGCCACTTGGGCTCAATTTTCAGGCAAACACTAGGTCTAGAATGGGAATAATAGTAATTGGAAAGTCTGTACACCTTAGAATAATCAACCATTTTATTTTTAAAATTAAAAAATTAATAGCTTTCTTGGCGTGTAGTTCACATATCATACATTTTAGTAGTTCAGCCATATTAAGAAGAGTTATGCAATCATCCCTACAATAAATGTTAGACCATTTTCTTCTTTCTTGTACTTACTGTTGTTAGCTCCCCACTTCTCCCCAACTTCCCCTACCATACCCCCAAGAAACCACTAATCCAGTTACTGTCTAGATAGATTTACCTATCCTGGATTTCATAAACAGAAAAAGTTTACAAAACACAACAACAAAACTAGCAACAGTAACAAAGTAAAACATATTTAATTGTATGATATGTGGATGAAGTGCTGATGAAACTGTTAAACAAAAACAAAACCAAAGGAAAATGTCAATCACAAAGAAAGTACACCAAAACATGAAAAAATAATAACATATAAATTATCAAGGGTTCATGAGGGAAGGAGGGACGGGGAGGGAGGGGGAAAAACGAGGAGCTGATACCAAGGGCTCAAGTAGAAACAAAATGCTTTGAAAATGATGATGGCAACATATGTACAAATGTGCTTGACCCAATGGATGTATGTATGGATTGTGATAAGAGTTGTATGAGCTCCCAATAAAATGATTTTTTTTAAAAAGCAAGCACAAAATATTAAAAAGTGGACCAAATTTAAAATGGGCCAAAGGGTAGAACAAATGATAAGGTGTTAAATTTTAACCTAACCGCATCCGCAATCATCCACTTTCTAATGCATTCTGCATGCTAGATAGCAAGTCTATTGGCACCTCTGGTCTATGGTAAGAGGGGATTGGCCAGAGGCTTAATCCACATGTATTTCCCCTTCACTTTTTTTTTAATGGAAACAACTTTCAGTGGGTCAAAAGGGAGATCAAACGATAAGTTATTACATTTTAACCTAGCTACATCTGCCATAATTGACTTTACAACATTCCTTGTCTAATAAAAAGGCTGTTCATATCCCTCCAATGTTCAGAGGGAAGTCACTGGAGGCTTAATCTGTGTGTAGACCCTGCAAGTGTATTTTGGACTTCACTGACATCCATAGCCTTCTTCACACTTATTTTAGATTCAAAGGGCAGCATTTACCCAAGGATAGTTTTTTTAGTGTTCTAAAACAAGGAGGAACAGAAAGAGGAAACTTAAGAAAAAGTGGGGTGTGGGATAGTACTTTGCGGGGATTGCCAACAAGAACACGAAACAAAATATGTATGAATTATTGAATGGATACTGATCATCTGCTCTGTAAACCTTCACCTAATTCAAAATAAAGAGCTTAAAAATTAATCCAAAGTTAAATAGATTGTGTATGTGTATCTGGTTATATATACCAGCACAAGTATGCATGTACGCATACGTACCTGCCCATACATTTTATGAAGGGTTGTCTTAGTCTTTTCCTTCCTGTCTTCCCTTGAAGATACTTCCCCCAGAAAACAGATTCAGAATCTTAGCCGCTTTGTGTGGAAGCAGGCAACCGTGGCCAGTGAACTGTGGGAGAAGCTGACAGCACGCTGTGTGGACCAGCACCGTCACATTGAGCGTACCCTAGAACAGCTCATGGAGATCCAGGGGGCAATGGAAGAATTAAGCACTACTCTGACCCAGGCCGAGGGAGTCCGAGCTACGTGGGAGCCCATTGGGGATCTCTTCATCGATTCACTCCCAGAGCATATCCAGGCTATTAAGGTATGTGGGTCCTCCTCACCTGAAACCCTTCCCAGACCCTGGCAATGTTCCTGCTGTTGAGACTCCATTTTCAGCCTGTTCTACAAACTTAGTTTGTGCTGCTGACTTTGGGAGCTGGTTTGCCTGGAGTCTCCTTGATCCTTTTGTCTCTTCTTTCTCTGGCATTTTCCCAGAGGAGAGGAGAAGGGGCAATACAGTGGCCACCTAGATTGGCAAGCACCTAGGTTGTGTGGAAACAAAACCTCTGGGTAAGGAGGGAGGAGTTCAAGGGAATGACTAATGATGGCTCCGCCTCCCCACTCTGTTTGCTTTGTGATGAGACTTCCGTTTCTACAGCTCTTCAAAGAAGAATTCTCCCCCATGAAAGATGGAGTAAAGTTGGTTAATGATTTGGCCCATCAGCTTGCTATTTCTGATGTACACTTGTCACTGGAGAATTCCCGGACTCTGGAGCAGATCAACATCCGGTGGAAACAGCTACAGGTAGAAGAGCAGCCTGGAGGGAGCAATGAGGACGAGCTTTAATCGAACTAGGCTGAGCAGCAGTTCTCAACCTGTGGGTCATGACCCCTTTGGGGGTTGAATGATCCTTTCACTGGGGTCATCCGATTCATAGCAGTAGCAAAATTACAGTTATGAAGAAGCAATGAAAATAATTTTATGGTTGGGGGGGCACCACAACATGAGGAACCGTACTAAAGGGTGGCGGCATTAGGAAAGCTGAGAACCACTGGCTTAGAGGAAAGCTGTTTCAGGTCCAAAGCAAAGAAAGGGTAGTAGAGAACTTAGAATAGAGCAACGAGATTCTCTGCAGGCCTGAAGCAACGAGAGAAGTGTCTGGTTTTGGGTACTCAGGGTCAAAGAGAAAATGAATTTTGACTATGGTCAAAATGAAGGCTATTCTTCCAGGAGAGGCAACCTTTTGGAGACAGCAACTGGACTGATGGTTCCTGGGGGGCAGGGGAGGGGAAGAAAGGGAGGCGGGGGAGGGGGAGCCAATAATGATGGGTACGAGAGAATAGTAAATGTTCTAAAACTGGAAGAAAAAAAAAAAGAAGGATATTCTTCTCTGACCCTTGGAGAGAGGGGTTAGATGGTAGTTTGAAGAGCTGGAATTTGAGGAAAGCCTCTATAGAGGGGAGTTCATAGAGCCCTGGTGGTATAAATGTCACTAATTTAAACCCATTAGTGACTCCATAGGGAAAAAAAAGATGAATCTATCTGTTCCCATAAGGATTTACAGTCTTGGAAACTATATGGAGCAGTTCTATTCTGTTCAATAGGATCACTGAGTGGGAATAGACTTCACCGCAGTGGGCATATGAGGGAGTTCATGACTATAGTCCTCGGAAACCCAGTGCCATCAAATTAATTCTGACTCATAGCGACCCCATGTGGGGTTTTCAAGGCTTTTTACATCTTTACTGGAGCACATAAACCCATCTTTTCCCCACACAGCAGCTGGTGGGTTTGAACCACTGACCTTGAGGTTCGCTGTCCACCACTTATCAAACAGCACCATCAGGGCACCTTATGAACTCCAAAGGTGCCTAAAAATCCCATGCTAAATATGTGGACCGAATTCCTTTCTTACATGTTCTTTCCATAGGCATCAGTTACTGAGAGACTGAAGCAGCTGCAGGATGCCCACCGGGACTTTGGGCCAGGATCACAGCACTTCCTCTCCTGTACGTGAGCCAAACTGGACTTTTCTTACAGAACCTTAATTATCTTCCAAGTAGCTTACTGTTATGCCTTGGGGCCCTGGTGGGAGCTTCGTATACCTTGCCTTCCAAGAAGCTGGGAGGATAGAGCAGTGTAGTACAATGATTAAAAGAACAGGCTTTCAAGTCAGATAGACTGAGGTCTGAGTCATAGCTCCGCAGCATCCAAGCTGAACAAACTTGTAAATGTCATTTACCTTTTCTGGACCTTAGATTTCCCTGCTAGAAAAATGAAGCAAACACAGTTTCTAGGTCATGTTGTTGCGGTTGTTGTGTGGTGCCATTGAGTGGGTTCTGACTCACAACGACCCTATGTCCAACAGAACAAAATCACTGCCTGGTCCTGGGCCATCCTCCCAGGCGGCGTTAGGTGAGAGCTCCTTGTGTTGGTCCATCTCGTGGAGAACCTTCCTCTCTTTTGCTGCCCTTCTACTTTACCAAGCATGATGGCCTTCTCCAGGGACTGATCCCTCCGGACAACATGTCCACAGCACGTGAGACAGAGTCTCACCATTTTGGTTTCTGAAGAGCATTCTGGCTGGACTTCTTCCAGGACAGATTTGTCCATTTTTCTGGTAGTCCCCGATGTAATCGATATGCTTTGCCAATACAATTATTCAAAGGCATCCACTTTCGTTGATTTAGCACATAGTATTATTGGATTAAATGACTTTATTCATCAAAATATTTATTGAGAACCTCTACTCTGTCCTATAGGGTTGCTCTGAGTCAAAGCCAACTCAATAGCACTAGTGTAGATTATGGGCCAGGTCATGTGCTAGGCACTGAGGATCGCATCAGCCAACTCAACAAACAGCAATCCTCAGAGTTGTAGCGCTTATATGCTAATGAGAGAAGTCAAGCATGCAATGATTTCTTTTTATGCATATGTGTTTATATAGAGACACACACATGCAAGCT